AACAACAGATCAGTCTGAAGTGCAATCTGTCAACAACTCCAATAAAAGAATTAATAAAACCAACAGCTGCCCTTGAACTTCATTGGGAGAAGAAAACCAAAACACAAAGTACACTTACGTAAAACAGAAGGGACAGTGATGACGAACAAGCCAGTCAGACGCTGGCCTCAAATTAGCAAAATGAGACTGCAGTCTTACTGTGTATCCCAAGTTGATGGAGATCAACTCAGTAGGGCTTAATTCTGAGTTGACACCTAGTTTTAGAGAATGGTATTTTAATGCCTCGTATCCCACAGCCAGATACACCATACTTTGCAGAAATACGATTCTTTTCTTATTTTAGAACTTACAAGGTAAGTGCTGAGTGAAACTGAAATTAAAGCATCTCACAGTCCAGATATCATTTTTCTCAAAAAGAGCTGAGATGACACCAACATACAAGAACAATTTAAACTGCCAAGTTTTAAACTGTTCGGAAAAAATGAATGCCTACATCAGCCTTTCTCTGCCTCATGTCATCTTTCAGAACTACCAAGCAATATGGCTTTGGTACAATAGTTGGGAGTTTCTGGGAATTGTCATCTACATGGCATCAAGTTGGAGACGGTAGGAGGAAATGAAAAAAAAAGTTAGAATCAAGAAAATGGATGGTATGGTATGGTTGTATTAAGCAATATCTGAGAGAACAGGGCAATCATAGAACTGGGATAAAATGAGATACCTCTAATTTTCCCTACCTGTTGTACACCAGCTGTATTAATTCCATCACTCTCAAGATTCATGTTGGCTAGAAGTTATAAAAGCTGGTAAAAATGGACTATAACATCCCTCCATTCCTCCATTTCGCTTCCGACTTCAACATAAACCAAACTGAACAAAGAATGTTAGAGAAACATGAACAGAGAAATTCACTAGCCTTTTCTTCTTCTCCTCAGAGGCAGTTCTGGTTTGGTCATATCAAATAAGCTGAAATGTTACACAAACGTTTTATAATGCTCCAGATCAAAATATCACATTTTGTGATCATAGGGATGAAAACAACTAAAAGTTAACATCTCTTATATCCTGTGAGATAATCAGTGTTTCTGTCCATTGCATCTTTAACACTTCATTGTAGTCATGAAGCAGGAAGTCAAGCTGTACAGTATTCCAAATTCACGTCCCATTTACTCCCAGCTGTTTGTTCACCAAAGTTAAGCAAAGCCAGGTTGACAATTCTTGATCCCATTGTTCGCTTGTGGTACACAACACAGCCTATTCAATAACTAAAACCACTTTTCTATGTCACTCAGTAGAATAAAAAAGGAGGAATATCACTTCATAGCTACTACTGTATCTTTTCTTCTCATTTAATAATTTTGCAAGTACAGGTAGTCCTTGAGTATGAATGTAATGGAGCCTTCCAATTACATTCGTAACCCGAGAATTTGTTGGAATGAATCAAAAAGAACGTGAAAATTTCCTGCTTTCACCCACACATTCACTAATCTTTTTTTTTTAAAGCAAGTTTTATTGGTTTTTTAATTTTTACATCAAAGTGTTTGAGAAACAACGTGGTGGTGGGGAAATCAATCATCCAAAACCAGAATCATACATATATAACTCAGGTTAATTCTTTAAAAGTTCCCTCTCTGTTTCCCTCCTATAGTATGACATATTCAAATTAATGCATTTCTAAATAAAATTCAATCAATCAAAACAATCATCAATAACATTTCATCTATAAAAATCCAAATCCTGTTTTTAAGCTTTACTAATTTAGAGTTACCATATTCCAATTTAGCTTTAAATAAACATATTGTTAACACTTCGGGTATCCCTCGTTTCCCTTTTCTCCTAATATAATAGATATATCTAAAATGTATATATTATTCCAACTGTAACATTCTTGTATTTTCCACATATATTCTATTTCTTAATCCAATAATTCATTTATTAATACCATTTCTTCTTTTGTTACAAATGCCTCTTATCTTCCTTCCATTATGAAATGGTTATCCTACCTAAAATTAAAATATTACTCAGAAAATACATTTCTACTCTGTTTTAAATATAGATTCTATCAATCAATCTATGTCCATAAAAAAACTTTTTAACCCATTAGGTAAAGTTTAAATCCCCTCCAAATAATTATCATATCTAAGACAAGCATATCATTACAAAAGATATTTTCTTAAATGAATTCACATACTCCATTAATTATTAAATCAGTCAGGATCTCTAACGCCTTTTTAACCCATTAAGTGAAATTTTAAATCGCATTTTTAAATCTAACTCTGGCTTTCTTTCTGTGCCAAACCGGTTTCCATAATAAAGCTTCTGTATCATCGAATCTCAATGTTTGGATAGGAGTATTTATCGACACTTCTGTCTGGTCAAGTTTCTCTTCTTCTTCTTCCAGTATCATCTGGGTGGTGTAATCAGTTTTATTCCATGTTGTAGTTACTAGTTGATTATCACACATTCGCTAATCTAATGCTCAGGTGCACGAGATATCTCAGGAGAGGGAAGGCCATGGGGGCAAGTCCTCCCCCAACCCACTGAGGAGATCCCATACTCTTCCCACCCCTTGAGGTTGCAAGCTGCTGGGCCCTTTCCTTCCCACCTAGGCATTAACCATTAACTTACTTTTGGCATGTTTCAGAGTTCTGTGCTGCCCACACTCGCCTCCTGAGCGGCCTTGGATGCCAGAGCCCTTATCCACTCAGGCAGAGAAGTGCCAGGCTGGTCCCTCCCCTTCCCTCCTGAGCCCCAGCCTCTCTCACAAGCAGGCACAGCACTGCCCCACCACTTGCTAGAGTGCTGAACCCGCCCGGATTTCACAAATCGCACCGCTGCGGAGCCGGAGAGCTTGGCGTGCCACCACCCTGCTCCCCTCGCTTAAAAATTGCCAACAAACCTGCTTTTTTGGTGAGAAAAAAGTAAGATCTCGTAAAGTTGGAAAGGCTGATTGTTTTTTTGTTTTTTGTTTTTTTTAGCCCCATGAACTTTTTTAGTTTCCCTCCACATATCTGCCATTTGGGAGCCAGCTTTTCCATTTCTCCAGCAAAAGAAAAGCGTCTTGAGCTGCGGGGAGAAATACCACGGAGCTGGAAAGCAGGTTTGTTGGCAATTTTTAAGGAGTGTTTTTAGCAAGCGAGGGGAGCAGGGCAGTGGCATGCCAAGCTCTCCAGCTCTGCAGTGATGCAATTTGTGAAATCCAGGCGGATTCAATACTCCAGTGTGGCAGGGCAGGACAGGGGCCGCTTGCGAGAGAGGCTGGGGCTCCAGCAGGGAAAAGACCTACCAGACTGATTTTTATTTTTATTTTTTTGCTACAATAGACTAACAAGAGTTAACCTAAGACGGTAGAACATACTCCTACAATTTGCTTTCTCATTCTTCTATGGAAGAAATGGTATTTTCAGTTGGTGGCATGCAGAGGGATAGAGAATTCTTGTAGCTATTACATCTACAACCCCAATTCGGTATACCTTATGGGAATATAAAGTGTACCAATATTAACAAAAAATCTGACAAGCTAGAACGGAACATTTATTTCATTCTGTTGTAAATCATTTTCCACAACTGTTAAGACTTTACAACATGACATGGCATCACATAAGAAAAATGATCCAGTATTACTATAGCATTTCCAGGAATATTTTGAGAATGAATTGTCTATTCCGATAATCAACGCTAGAGTAATATACCACCATTAAAACATCTGATGACAACCAATTTGGTGTAGTGGCTAAGGCAGGGGTAGGCAACCTTGGCTCTTTTATGACTCGTGGACTTCAACTCCCAGAATTCCTGAGCCAGCCATGCTGGCTCAGGAATTCTGGGAGTTGAAGTTCACGAGTCATAAAAGAGCCAAGGTTGCCTACCCCTGGGCTAAGGCTAGAAACTGGGAGACTGTGAATTCTAGTCCTACCTTGCGATGATCTTGGGCAAGGTCACTTTCTCTCAACCCTAGGAAGAAGGCACTGGCGAACCACTTCTGAAAAACCTTGCCAAGAAGGAATTTATAAAGCAGTCTCTGAGAATCAGACATGACTGAATGGAAAGGGGGGGAAAATCTGATACCAATTTTCTCTGAGAATAATACTGACCAAATATTTTTATTTCATTGATATTATTGTTGCATATCGATCATTCTCTTTGAATTCTGCATTCATTGAATCACTCTTTAACTTGTTCACTTTGGGAATCAAACCTCCCTGCAATTTAAAAACTCTAATAAATGGTCTTAATTATATGTAACACATTTTGAAACTCAAGATCTCTAAATTTTATCCTGGGAATCTCATTAGGCCATATACAGTATATTCTTTTTTATTTTTTTGCTGCCAGTCATTTAGTGCATTTTCATCCATTTTTATTGGGATCTTTTAGATCAAAAAGTTAAGATTTGCATTTTTATCCCTGCAATTCTTCCTATCCAGAAGTTTCTGCCTTTCCTATCTTGAAATGTTTAGCATTATATTTCTCCAAGTCTGATTAATGGTTCATAAATAAATCTTTATAATTTCTTGTTAAATAAATTCCCAGATAAATTATTTTTTTAGAAATGATCTTAAAGCTCATTGTTCATTATAAATAGATTTTCTTCTTGAGATTAAGTTTCATACCCATATTTGGGGCTTGTTTTTGTTAATTCAATAGTCTGATAATGAATCATACTGCTGTATATATTCTATTAAGCTTTATTAAGAATCCCTTGGATAAATAATTGTAAATTCAACATAATCTGTATATAATTTTATGTTTGGAAACTGTTAAACTAGGGTTTTACAGATAATAAGATAACGTAGGATATTGTTGGTAGAAGAATCACCAAATTCAAATCAAAACATAAAGTAGACGAAGAAAGACACAAGAATCTAGTCACAGAACCTGGCTTTTGACTTTAAGTCAATTACACTACTTAAGTCAATTAAGTTGTTTATATGTTTGTAAGTAAAATATTTTTAAGAAATGAAAACAGGAAGGTAGTTTATATATTTTGCACATTTTTGTTTACAAAAACTGTGTGGAATTTCCTTTATATTGGGCAACTGATCAACCAGATTGACACAGCAAGCTTCATAATTTAACTACACAGAAAATGAAATTTAAATCTGATCTAAACTTCGAGTCTATTCTTTGCTTTTCTTCAATTTATTTATGCCCCTTGTTTGATATCTCATTTCCATTTCATTTAATATCCACTTGTAGCAAGATCAAAATGATTAACTCTCCTCTTTACATCAAAGTTTCCTTGCACCGCAAAATGCACAAACTGATGTTTAATATAAGTGGCATGGCAAGATACCAAGGAAATTCGGTTGTCCCACGTATTTCCTACTAATAAACTACAAAAGCTTTGAACAGTAGGCCACTTGTGCGGTTTTGGTTGGGGGTTTTTTTGTGAAGTGTGAAGCTTAATGTCAATTAGCAGCACCATAAATTGAATTCATTTTCCTTCTGAACACAATACAGGTCACAAATCACCTCAGATAATTCTCAAAGCTGACAAACTTTAGCAGACACTTTCTTGAGGAAAAAACAGATGTTTTCCTTTTTTAAAAAAGTTTTTTTAAAACATTCATATCATGCTGTTAAGTATGTGAACAGTAACAATATATACAAAATTGATAAAGAAAGTGGAAAATACCTTTCTAATGAAAAGAATATTATGTAATTTATAAGATAATGCAGTGCTTCTTAATCTTAGCAGCTTGAAGAGGCATGGACTTCAAGTCCCAGAACTCCCCAGTCAGCCTTGAAGTCCACATGTCTTCAAGTTGCCACGGTTGAGAAACACAGATATGATTTTTAAAGCCCCATATATGTTTCTAGCTAGCATTATTTCTTCCACCTTCTCCTTAAACTCTTGCCTCGGGCTTTTTTGCCCTCAAACACTGGCCTGGCTGTCACCATCTGCATTTCCTCCTCTGCACTGGCACTGCTACTCTCTGCTTCACTTTGTGCAGATGCAACTTCTAGAGTTGTTTTGTGACTTGCCACTTTTGTTTCGAGCCTCTTTGCATCCTCCCCTCTTCTGTGCTTTCTGGAGGCTTCCTTCTCCAAATCATCAGCTGAAGACTCGCTGGATGCCTCTGAGAGAAGAACCTCTCCAATGAAGCCACCACACAGAAAGCTCTGTTGCTCAGATGGTGGACATTTTTTCCGTTTGCTTCCTCGTCTCTGGCATCCAGCCCTTCCTTTATTGAATGCTTGCCCTTTCCTCTGTTTCAATTCTTCTTCTAGGACAGCAGTTGCCTCCTGGACTTCACTGTCTTCTTCTTCCTTCTCTTTTCTCCTCATGCAAGTCACAGCTCGGCGAAGCCTCTGACTCTTGATGGCTTGTTTTTCATGTTGTGCCAGTCTGAAGAATGAGTCAATACGCAGCTGAGTCTACAAAAGAAAGAAAAGTACCCCTGTGAGATTCAGTAAGGGTTACCGAGAATACTACCTGCAGCAAAGAAAACACGCAACAAAATTCACATCCTTGACAAGAGAATATTTGTTCAGATCTCCAGCTGGTCTTGCCTAGTCCCGATACATTTAAGATAGAGTAGGGCAGGGGTAGGCAACCTTGGCTCTTTTATGACTCGTGGACTTCAATTCCCAGAATTCCTGAGTCAGCATAGCTGACTCAGGAATTCTGGGAGTTGAAGTCCACGAGTCATAAAAGAGCCAAGGTTGCCTACCCCTGGAGTAGGGAATATCTGGCCCTCCAGCTTATGCTGAACTAGAATTCTCAGTGCCTCATCTAGCACTGACAATGGTGAGAAATATTAGGAAATGAATTTCCACAACACTTGGATTGTCAGACATTCTCTACCATCTCAAAGTGCTTTATGGAGGTCAAGCAGGCCAATTCACCCGAAGTCTACATTTGGCTTCCATTAGGGTTGCCCCAATTTTCTAATATCCCACTCTAGTCTTTTAGTAGCCCTATTGTTGGTACAGAGGGATTCAATTGAAATGAATTACAGATTCATGTCCTGTAGATGTTTTGGCTCCACTACAAGCTGCAATGGGCAGTTGCTCTGAGAGGTACCTACACAACTTTCCCAGAGCTTGATACCAGACTGCTTTCATAGATGGATAGCAACCTATTTAGATAACTTTTAATAAGCATCCATTTCGTACAAGCTGTTGTTGTTTGTACTGCTATTATGTCACTAAAATATTAACTCTTGATGGCTTCATGTTTACTTTATGCTTCCTGTCAGAATTTACTTGGAAAACTTATGAATTATAAATTATTAGAAAAAAGCATGCAGCAACAACCAACAACTTATACAATTGCTAAGACTGCTATATTTTTATGCTTTTTCTACAGATATATTTGCCTAAATTTGACTCTAACCAAGTCTTGGATATAGAAAATCAGACTCCCTTCATCCACAACCTTTTTTGCAATTTCTAATCAGCTACTACATGACTAAGTCTGGTATTTTGACAATGAACCCTACATCTAATCAATTCGAAATGTTGGGATTACAAACACTGTGCATTCAAAACATGACTTTGCCATTTCCTGTGGTTGCTTTTAATCTCTGAACGAAAGGGAATATTTTTGGGAAAGTAATCTGCTTTATTCCAGGACACTGACCCATGAAAGCAAGTGGCCTAGATATAACTTTTGTCTACTCAGTATTAAGATTCAGTACTGCTCTTTTCAGACTGTATATAAAATAACAGTTCTGAAATTGTGAAACACATAGCTTACTTCTTTACTATATTTTCATTTATCCAACCAATTTTTACATCAAATTTTAATTAATCATCTGCTTTTTTAAAATTTTATTTTCAGACATGCTACATTCGCACAACT